AGTGATGGAGAGCAGAAGCAGTTGATGAATGGCATTAAGCGTGCGAGGAGGTGGGAGATGTTTCCTTTCTAATCTGTTCCTCCTGAGTGAGGCTAGACCTGCTCCAGCATCTCTCTGGTGGTTTGGGCCAGCTTGTTACCCAACTTCGTTGCTGTTCATCTCTGTGGAGAAGCCAGGTGGTCTGAGGAGCACCCCCATCCTCTCTGGGCGTGTTGCCTCCAGTACCACCCACTGGTTCCCTCATGCTCTGAGGCTGCAAATACGGTTTTAATAACGTGTCCATAAATCATTCTGTCCGTAGTAGCTGACACAAGCAGTGGTGCTGGGAACAGGCCCAAACTTCCCAGCGCAGGGAAGTCTACACAGTCAACCCCAGCGCTGGTGCTGTGAACGGTGGCCCCCGCCAGCCCGTCGTACGAAAGTGGCCACCAATGAGACCCGAGAGCAGCTGTCACCACTGGGTGCAGCCCACCCTCCAGGGAAGCAAGGGTGGGCTTCAGGACCCTAATTGGGCTATCTGGTGCTGGGTGGGATGTTCTGGGGGTCTCAGGGCAAACCATGGGGCTGCCAGGATCTACGGGACACCTGAGCCTGCTGGAAGAGCAGCTGGAGGCCAGGTGGGGTCCTGCAGGGCACCTCGATGGCACCGGGCACCCAAAACGTGCCCGAGGTCTTGACACAGGACCTGGGGCACGGCAGCAGCCACGAACACCACACAACGGTCACCCTGCGGCGAATCTACCTGTGCATCCTCAGCCACCAACAGCCCCGTGCTCACAGCTGTCTGGGAAGGGTCGGCGCCGTTAGAATCCGCCTTTTGCAGCTGAGGAACCGGAGTACACAGGGATGAAGGAACCCGGCCACATTCCCCGGGGGTCCGGGCTGCCTGTGGGCTGCCACGGAGCGCTGCCCCGGCAGCATCTGCACCTCGGACACGTCCCCTCTCCCTTCGCAAGAGTGCAGGGTAACCCTGCTTTCTCAGCAGCAGCGAGAGCCAGAGCGGAGATGCTGGTTAGCAGAGGTGGCACGTGCTACCTGTGCTGGCAGCAGAAAGCACTTAAGGCTGCCTAAAAAGAAATGTCATGTCAAAAAAGACCACATCAACATGCATTTTTTACAGCCCTCCCTAGATTTTTGTCACGGATCCCCCCCCGATGGAGTCATGCTGGCCTCTGACAGATACAGGATACGTCTCATGACAGATTGGTTGTTTTAAAGGTATCCTGTTCTCCAGCTCTAATAATTTGGGAAGCTCATTTGCAGCCTTGAAAGCCGCTAGCCAGCAGTTCTCCGAGTCTGCAGAGAGTTTGCAGCCTGTCAGGCTCCCGTGCCCCCGAGCATCCATCACTCTCACACTTCACTCCTGCCCCGACACTGAAATAACAAGCGAGATCCTGTCCCGGTGCAAAGCAAATACCCCTGGCTGTACATCAGGACAGTTCCCCAGCAAATAAACTGGTTGGAATGACTTTTTTCCTGATCTCACCATGGATGATTTCATGAGCATGGGATGGGTTCAGGTCAAGGGCTGCTATGAAGAGCAGCACCCCGTCACTGCTGCCCAGACATTCCTGTTTGCTCTGTTCTTTCCATTACCTCCTTGCACTCAGCAGCGACAAGATTTCCTAATATGAAAAGTCAAAAAAAAAAAAAAAAAAAAATCACAGAAAAGACATATACCTGTGCCACAGTTTTGGAGCACAAGGCCCATTTGCTGCCTGTACAGACATTTGAAGGGAAGAAATCATTAAATCATTCCCAAATCGAGTGTTTTGACTCTTCCCAGCCTGTTTCTTTGTCTCTGGCGTTCAAAGGAGTGACAGGAAAAGCAGCTGGCCGGGCACGGGGTCTTCGCAGTGAGACTTCGCCTGATATCAAGGCAACAAGAGGAGTTTTCACCTGATGCTGGAAACAATGCCATCCATAGAAGCCCACATTGTTACCTTGACATTTGGAAGCAATTACCTGCATGTTATGTAAAACTTTTATTAAACGACTGGAGAAATTCGGTAATGTGTTAATCATTGGTTGAATGACATCTGCTTAATACCAGAGATTTTTGAACTGCAGGAGAAGGGTTCAGCAGTTCAGAATGATTACCAAAACATATTGCTCCTTTTTTCGTTCTCCTACGTGTTAATTTTTCAGATTTATTATCTTAGGCTCCTGCGTCTAGTATTTTCACTACATGTCAACATCTGTTATATCTCTGCATTTCGCAGCTCTTTAGTCTTTGCCCCATGAAGCCTTAGGCACTTGGTTGAGGGACGCAGCCAGCTCTAACCCAGGGCTTATGCAATTTTCCAAACTAATCCAAAGAACAATTACCAGGGAAATTTGGCTCGCGGAGGCATTTCTGGCATCAAAAAAGGGACTGGTAGGTGGACTCAAACCCAAGAAACCAGGCAGGTTTAGCGACAAACTTGGCTGTCAGGACAGGACTTGGAAAGTCTGGGGCGTTGCGAGTCGGCTGCTCTTTGAGAAACGTGTGGTGGGTGGAAATGTGTCATGGAAAGATGCTCGGTTCGTTCCCACTCCTTTTATTCGCTCATGCAGACCTGGAGTCACTCCGTTCATATGCCAAATAAAATCCTCCGGGGACGCTCACCCTGTCGAAAGGCAGAGCCAGGAAAGGAGGGATGTTCTGCACGAGCCGTGGAGGCCAAGGGGCTCCGGCTGCGCGTGTGATGTGGACACGTCCACGGAGATCTGGGACCTGGAGCTGGGCACAAGCGCCGGCACCTGGGCAGAGGTGGGGGACTGGGCACTGCCCGTAATAAACTCATGGTCTGTTAGGGCTAGGATTCATCCCGCTCTCTCTTTTTTTGGGGAAGGGTGAGGCTTACAAACACAGTGCCAACATGCTGGTAAAATCTTTGCCCTCGCCCCCCCAATCCTGTCTCGCCCGGGACTCTGTTTGCTGGCAGAAAAATGAGAAAGTCCCTGCTGGAGCAGAGGTCTGCGGCGATGGTACAGGCAAGAGCTTGCCTGCTGCTTTGCAAAAAAAAGGCAGCTCTTACCCCACGGGAAACCAGCCGCCAGCTCCTCCCCGGGGCACCTCCGCCGGGGTCCTGCCAGCTCCTGCAGACAACGCGCCGAGCTGGGGGGTTGGAGGATGTTCAAGGCGGACGTTCCTGCGCTCTCCTGGCGACGGAGGCTCCCGTTCGGATAGTCCCTTTGCTGGGTGAAAGCTGGTGGCCCCGAGGGGCACCACGTTGCCCCACATCCCCGGGACCGGCACCCGGCGCTGCCGGATGGGTGCCGAAACAGGCAGCTGCCCAACATGCCCCAAAACCTCTCCTAAAGCCGTGAGCAGAAATACAGGGCATCCCACCAGGCTTGTGTTGGGCTTAATTTGTGCACTGGCCCTGCACGATGAAATTCAGCCTGTATATATGAAATATCTGGTTGACCCGGCCAGCTGAGCGCGGGCGGTGGCTGCAGGATGGGTCCGGGAGCGGTGGGAAGCAAAGTGCGGCCGCCCCTCTCAGGGCATCGGTTGATGGAGCTGTGATAGAGAAAGTTCACTCTGACATGACTTACTAGAAAATCTTTTTGCAGGTAATTTCCATGCACTGCCCTGGATCATGTTCCAGAAGAAACTCGCATTATATACGAGCCAAATGCTTTCTACTCCCAACCGTCAAGCCACATTGCTAATTTATGCTTTTTTTATTATTTTGTTCCTTCACCCGTGATCTGCCCCCCATCCCCAATAAAAATTACAGCTTCCATTTATCATTTTTCTGAGGGTTACTATAAATTCAGCTGTGCCCCATCTCTTTTGCTTAACGTAACGCAAACTTTCTGTCCGCCTCCCTTTGTAGGTTGCATTATTTCTGTAACCTCACACATCTTTCTTCCACATCCTCTTGAGGGGGAGGGAGGAATAAAAAATAAAATAACCCTGAGATCTTTAAAGGCCATCTCTGAAACCGCAGAATGGCTGGTATTACATACAAATAAAACTTGTGTTTTTTAACGGGGGAACTTCCTGCTGCTTTTTTTTTTTTCTTTCTTTCTTTATAATTTTTTTTTTTTTTTTAATTAATAAAATGCTTGCAGTAATTAACAACAGCTTGGACAGGCAGGCAGTGACACTTGCTGCCCCCTGAGCCTGTGCGACCAGGGGTCACTTCAAGGAGGGCTCCTACCTGTTTTGCTCCCAAGCTGTTTTGCAAATTGAACTCGCGGAGGCTTTGCGTCGGGTTTTGGGAAGCACAGGGAGAAACGAGCATCCGATGCTCCACTTCCCATCGCTGCAGTGCCATGAGCCTGAAAACACTTATTCCTTCTAAACTCCCGCCTGGAGTAATTAAAAGACATCATAAAAATGTGGGAATGGCTGCATTTCCCCCAGGCTTGTGGTCCGGTATCCATCCTCTGACGGTGGCCAGCACGCTTCAGAGGGAAGCAGAGACGACCCCCTGCCCGGGGCCGTTCTGGGATGAGCTTCTCCACGGGGAGCTTCTGCCTCCCCTCGAGCAGAGCCTGGCTCCAGTTTATGCTGAGAGTTGGCCAGGAACTGTTCCCGCTCTCCGAAAACTGCTGATGGAAACAAAAGATTTTCCCTGCTTGTTGAGATTTGTTGCGTTTTGTCAAAAAATCCTCCTTTTTCTCCATCTCGGATGCATAACTTTTCAAAAGTTTTTCCGTGAACAGAAGAAAAAGGTCAAATATAGAGCAGTGCCCAGCACGGGAGTCTTCAGGCCTGATTTTGAGGAGGAAAATGTGGAATTTTTGCAGAAGTTCATGGCAAGCTTCTTCCAAGACTGAGCACAAGGAGGGAAGAAGGTTAATGCCGACATGAAAATGTAACCAATGGGTAGGAATTTTTGGGAGACTACTTCAGCGTTTCTTTTTAAATCCAGCACTCAAAGATGCTGCTCTTTACTTAAACATGATTTTAAAGCGCTAAGCTCTGGCAGTAGTTCTCCTACTGCACAAATGTGTGACCTTGGATGACACCGATCTGCCTAAAAAGAAGGAAAAAAAAAAGGTGTTGCTGATATTTATTTATTTTATGCTCCGATTCCTCATTCATCATCAGGTAAATTTGCTCTTGGCAGCACCGGCAACTTCCTCAAACACAGCCAAGGTGACCACTAAAATTAGCATCAAATCCCAATAACACTTTACATCATGTACACATTATTTTTCACTGGACATAAATTGTGAGGTGTTTCGCTTTTGTTTTGAATACCCAGGGGGGGCTGGTCGTTGCTCTGGGCATTGCTCCATGCCGGGGATGGAACCGGCCGATGCAACCGACTCCAAATGTGGAAGTTAAATTTTTTGTTTCACTGGAGAAATTTTCTCAGTCCTTGCCAAGATGAATTACTAAAACGTCTGAAGAAACAGCACTGACCGAGACCTCAGACAGTAAAACACAATTTTCATCCTCTCTCATAAATTTTTTGCTTAATGAAAAGTCCTTGAGGAGCACATTTCTCTGTCAGAGCCAAGGAAAATAAACGTGTGCGTGGTTAAACAGCGCCGATAGCCGTGAACGCCAATGACCCTGCCCGTGTCCTGGTGTTACTGAACATCTGCATCTGCATCCCTCCTGGAGACCTCCCCGCTGTCGGCATCCCCAGGTAGGAGAGCAGAGGGATGCTCTGGCAAAGGGAGTTTTTGCATCACGCTCCTGCCACGCTGGGAGCGTTCAGTCCCCACTTCCAGACTGCCTTCAGAGAGAGCTAGGCAGAAAACGCAGACTTTTCCTCAGCGGAATATAATGTTTGGCTGAGGTTGTTGTGAAAGCCCCGCAGTGAGTGGGATGGTGCAGACTGGGGTGGCCGTGGGTGCCTGGAGGACAGGACGGCCACATCCCTTCTCATCCCCGGGCAAGATCCTGAGCTAGAGAAGTGAAGCAAGGCAGGTAGTGCTGGCGAGCGGTGTAGTTAATTAAACGCTGGTAAAAACGTAGAATCATCCAGGGATACTCACAGTTCACGGGGCCAGTGTCCTGGTAGCCACGAGTTTGGAGACACTGAGGGTGGATAATGGAGCACCCTGTAGTGCCCGATCCCGAAGAAGGGAGGGTCATGACTTGCTCCGTGACTGTGCAGGCTGGGGTACACCACAACCCTCGTCTTCCTTGTCCTCCGAGGAAGCTGCAGGCCCAAGAGCGTGGAGAAAACCCGTCAGCAATGGGAAGATGGAAATTCTCTGCGGAGATGGCCAGGAGGGATAACACCAGAGCCTGACACTCCCTGAGATCCCCAGGCATCACCCAGAATGATGTATGATCCCCGTCCTTCCTGAGCCGTGGTGGGACCTGCTGGGGACAACCAGAGACCTTGGGGTGTCGTGCCCAGGGAAATGAAGTCTGAGACAGGGTGGGATTGCTACCTACAAACATTGGCGTGAGAAGAGAGGAGGAAAACACTGCCCACGAATACATTTAGGCTGGAGAACAGAAGAGGGCTTCTAATCATCTACAGAGAGGCCTCCCGAGAGAGCTGGAAAGAGCAGAAACCTTAATGGAATTTAAAATGTGCCTCGACTGGTTTGTGAAGAGGCTCGTGGCAAAGGTCTGATGTGAGGAGCCGGGGAATCCCACCCAGCCCCACCGCCTGTGCTCCCCCATACCTCTCGTGTGCCAGCCGGCAGCCCTCCTCCTCTCCGCACCCACCACCGGCACCTCATGGGCAAGATGGGCTCTTCACCACATCAGGTTCAGATCAGCCAAACGTGTCCCGGTGACTTCCCGGATGCTTCTCCACCTGCGAGCCCGTCCCTGGCCACCTCTCCTTGTCCCATTGCCCTGAAACCAGCCTGGCAGGAGCGGCTCTGGGTGTCCATCACGCTCTCAGGGATCTCCGGAGGTCCTGAACGCGGGCTGGTGGGACCCAATAACTCAAGAAGAGAAGTGGGGAGACAGGAGCCACGTCCTCATTGCTGGTGGGGCTGGATGCTGGCATCTGAAGAAGACAACTCCCGCCCGTCCAGAGCTGCTTGATCTCCATGTGGGCTGAGCCTGGTCTCCACCAGTATCACCATGTGGCATTTCAGTGCCTCACCGGTGACGTCCCTGTCAACGAAGACCAGTTCCCCTTTTCCTGCAAGACAAAGGAGGGACAGGAGGGGGGAGGATAGGGGACAGTAGCACCAAAGCATCAGGATCAACTGGAGGGGCCAGGGCAGCCCCGCACAAAAGCGTTCCTGAACGAGAAACAGCCCTGAGCACCCAGAGCAGCCCCAAAATGTGAGGGCCCACCTCCGGGGTGCAGGGTCCCCAGTGGGTGCCTTTAGCTGGGCAGAAACACCAATGCCGGCTGCAGTGGGGTCAGGATCACACCCAGCAGTGGGTGGGTGAAAGAAAAAAGATGAAGCCTGAACCTGCAGGTCTTTATATATATATATATATATTTTTTTTTTTTTTTCCAAAAAACACCCAGACAGCACTTGAGGGTGCTGCCACCTGAGGTGTATTAAGCCCTACCCCTTATGCTGCCCATTTCATGGTGCTAAAGGGGGCGGGGGGGCTGGGGGGTCAGGCTGCACTAGAGGGCACTGTCGGCTGTAGATCGTGACGGGGGGGACGCGGAGGATTATTCAAGATGCCGTGATAGCCCACCTCTGCATCGCGACCTTCGCTGGAGCGAGCAACTGGGCCGCTGTTTTAAAAACAATTATTGTATATTCCATCTGCTAAGGCTGCAGGGAAATGCTGTGTGAGAACTGGTGGGGGTGATGTTCAAACCTCTGCTCTCTGAATATTGCAATACTTTTTTTATTTTTTTTAACGTGTTTTAACCCAGAGTCACTCAGCCTTGTGCCAGGTCCGAATGCAGCCAGGGAATTTCCTGGGATGGAGATGGTCAAACCTTTGGAAGGTGCAGCAGAGCTGCGTCTCTCCCTCTGGATTTCTCCTTTACAGGTGGGATTTTATTGGGGATTTTGCATCAGAGCAACAAGCAGCAGCAGCCCTAGGAGGGGAGGAAGGCAGCGCAGGGGCTGCTTGCGAAAAAGCAGCAGAGCCTGTGCTCACAGGCGAAAAAATCGCTCGTGAAAGAAACGAAATGAGCGAAAAAAAAGCAAGTGCTGCCCCTGCAATGCATCCTTCCCCGGGGCAGGGTGCTGTGGCTGCTTCAGCGAGCGGCGTGGTGCGGCGGGAGCAGCCGGGACCTGCCAGGAGCAGCTCCGATTTCCACGGATGAAGCTGCGGGGGGGACACGGAGACCGAACAGGAATTCCCCGGCTGGAGTTGAGCCAGGACCCCAGGGCTCACGATCCCGGCTCCGGCTGCAAGTGCCACAAGACTCCTAACCACGAGGTGGTTAGGATTTGGGTTTTACATCATATCTATTTGTAGGGGAAAAGATTAAAGGCCTTGCGGACTCTTACGAAATCCCTGGTAGCAGCAGCTCTGGTGACTGGAGTCAAATCGATTCCAGACTGAGACCTTCCATTAGTGGAGGCTATTTAGGGAAAAAAAAGGGAGAATATTTAATTTGCCTCCCTGAAACGGCAATTTCCAAGTTCCCGGCACTGTTGGTGAGGGCTGGCGAGGGGTCTGCACACATTTCTGAGCGACCTCACTCATGCCTTTCACACCAATCCACAGTAGCGGCCATAAAGGCCAAAGAGACAGGAAACCTGATTTTTCTCACCTTCACAGCTGAAACCAAACCCAAACTTCCCAGTGTCTGTCCTGATGAAATGACCTGGCAGAAAAAAAACTTCCCAACCACCTGGAGATACCTTCAGAAAATGCTTTTTTCAAGGTGGGGTTGATTTTAGCAGTTAGGGCTGAGGAGCACAGGCAGAAGAAGGTGTGAGGTTTCCTTGGGAGCCTCCTGCTCCTGTTGCTGGCTTGAGACCCAGCAAAATCGGGAGAAACAGCTTTTTGGGGAGGGGACCACCAAAGGCATTAACTCCTCATGCCCCTGGCAGCCTCCATCCCAGCGAGCAGATATTATCTACTAGAGATTTATTTCCAGTCTTCTTTTCAAGACATGATGTCAGGATTATAATAACCTGACTAAGGCAAACCCTGGATGGAATTACTATTGTGTTTATCAATTTCCTTTTTCTTTTCTTTTCTTGTCTCGATTAATCATGGAACAGAGCGATGGAAAAGTCCTGTTAGACCAACCTGCCTCCCAGCCAAGGCAGGACTGATCCCTACATCCACCGTCTTCTGTTTCATTTAGTCTATTTTTAAAAAATCCCTAGTGACAAGACTTCTTGAATCACAGGAGCGAGAAATGGAAAAGACCTATTAGATCATGCAGTCTGTCTCCTGGCCAGTGCAGGCTGTTCCCTGCAGCCCGGTTTTTAGTTTTTTAGCTTCTACCTTTCTTTTCCCTGGGAGATTATCCTGCTGGCTCACAGATCTCACACTCAGGTTTGCTTGATGTCATGCTGGAAAGCAAAGATGTCCGGAGCTGGCCTCATCTGACTGAAAGCACTTAGAGTCTGGTCTGCGGGATGGGAACAGGGGGATGAGGGGGCATCGCCCTGCTCGGACCCCCCGCTGCTCCCCGGGGCAGGGGCACACGGGGCACAGGCACCACGAGTCCGGGCACCGCTCGTCTCAGCGGCTGGGGAGGGACCTGTCCTGCTCCAAACCCCTCATGTTTCCCTGTGCTGATGCCGTGCCGGCTCTGGGGCTTATGTACAAGGTGGGCAGACCAACCTCGGACAGGCTAATTAGCGCTGCAGCATCACTGCTGATTGGGTTTTAGGCAGAAATGGCACACATCTACCCGCAAATACCCCCGCAGCACACCAGAGCCTGCTGCCTCCTGCACGGTGCGCGCCCGCAAAACCTCCACGCCAAACTCCCCAGCCTGCTGTGCTTCCCCCCCAGCACGATCCCCTGGGACCGTGGAGGGAGCTCGGATGGGCGCTGGGGGCTCCCATGGGTGCTGGGTGCCCACGACCTTCCAGAGAGCAGCACAGCCGACGTGCTCAAGCCACGAGGTGCCCTTGATCCTTTGCGGCGCACGGTTTTCGGCTCTACCCCAGCCTTATCTGCCTCGAGTAATCAAAAATAATTGGTTGCTCCCCAGTGGACTGATCTAATAGCAGTACGAATAAAGTTATTTTCAACAGTTGTTCATGAGTTCATCTCCTGGAAAGCCTCAGCCCCAGCTGTTGCTGTGCTTTTGATTTAAAAAAAAAAAAAAAAAAAAAAAAAAATTAAACTCAAACTGGGGATTATCAGGGCTAAGCACGTCTCAGCCCTCCCTCCTCCCCGTGTCAGGTGCCCGGCCGGGCTATAAACCGCTCTTTGTGTGCGGCTCCCTCGCCCCTTTCTCTCTGCGTTGGCACCAGCGCCGGTGCGATTTGGCAGCTCTCCGCGGCGCGCCGAAAGCGGGGTGCTGGCAGCGCCGGTGTGGCTCGCGGTGCCGGGGCCTGGCTGGCAGGCAGCGGCGGCTGCAGGGCTAGCATGCAAATGGTCGCCGAGGCCTTTGGCCAAGTCCGTTTGTTAACGGTCAAGCCATGGGGGAAGCTGTTTGGGGAGAAGGAAACTGAATTAGGGAGGAGCGGGGAAAAGGGAGGGTGGGAGCGGGGATGGGGAGAAACCGTGCGGGTGTCTCACCGCCCTCCCGTTTGGTGAAGTGCGGAGGTTGGGGACAGCGAGGAGGGTGCTTGGGGACGGCGTTGATGGTGGGGGACCTGCAGAAAACCCGAGCATGAACTGGGCCCCGTGCAAGCCCGGGATGGTGGTGGAGGGGGTGTCCCCCGCTGGGAGAGCCGAGCCTCCGCCGCTGCACCCACCCGCCCGCAAAGCAGCTTGTGGAAAACCGGGGGTTCTCCCTTCAACCACTGAGCCACAACCCATCCCTCGAAAGCAAGAACCGCCGCTCGCGCTCCGGGGACAACCTCTGAGCCGGCGGGCAGGGACGTGCAGGCTCCCCGGGGCAGGTCATCCCGCCTGGGGACCCTCGGGGGTCCCCGGGGGCGAGCATGGAGCCCAGCTCCTCCTCCCACCCAGCTCCACCATATGGTTTGCTGCTCCGTGGCCGCCTGCCACCGCAGCCGGTGAATCAGCCGTGTCACTCCAGCGGCACAACCTTTGCAGGCTCGAGGTTTTTGTTCTTAAAGCATCCCGGTCTCTGCCCTAATCCCTCGGAGAAGGCAGGAGGGCGCAGGATGGAAACGTCCCCTCTCCCCTCTGCAGCGGCGGCCGCGGGGCCTCGCTGCCGGGACCAGCCCGCAGCCAGGCGTGGGGCGAGAGCCAGGGCTCCGGGATCCGAAAAATCAGCATCGACTCACTCCTCTGCCTGCCAGAGCAGAGACAAATTCAGCTCCCACCTCCTGCTCCGGGGGGTTTGGCCGGGACAACCGGTGCTCTGGCAGCAGCGGGTTTAGGGCAGGTGGGAGACGGTGCCTTGACCCCCCCCCCCCCCACCCCCCCTTAACAGCCTCCTCCCCGCCATCAACATCTGGGTGCGCTCAGCCCGGTCCCAGCCCCTCTCTCCAGCACAAAATCCAGCTGGACACACGTCCCGGCAGCTGGACGGACACCGACGCCGGCGCAGCGGGAGAGGTGGGGGGTCACCCCCTTCCCACGTCAGCGCGGACTTTGCTCGGCTCAAGCCGACGGCGAAACCCCACACCGAGACCCCTCTGGAAGGGATGGATTAGCAGCTTGGGCATTGGGAGAAATTCTTGCTGAGGCAGAACAATTAGAGAGGGACTATGGGCCGGACATTTGGAGATGTTCTTGCCGAGACGGGATAATTAGAGAGAGGATACGGACAATAAAGGAGTTTCACACTTAACTTTCCTTGTCTAATCAATTAGGTAATAACAGAGTTATTCCATACATCCGCCTAAGGAGGTCCCTCCTCTTTCTGAATAAAGATAATTTTAAAAGCAGACTGATGAACTCACGCCGATAATTGTCCCAAGGTTGGGAAAACTTGGGAGCAATGTGGTGAAAAAGGGAGAATCAGATCAAAAGGCAGAAAAAAATGCTTGAGAGTACCAAACCTTGAACACGTTGGAGGCTGAACATGCATGTTGTCTTAAACCTAAACTATATGGTTGCCCATAAGGAGATGTGCAGTTGGCCTAATAGTCATCACTAAACCGACCGAATTAA